TATGTGTGGGTGCTTGTGTTCATGGGCATGCGTGGAGGCCGGAGTCTCTCACTGAACCTGGAGCTCACCAATTTTTGGCGAGGCTGGTGGCCAGCAAGCCCCAGTGATTGCCCTGGGCCTACTGTTCTTGCCTCTGCATAATAGGCTTATGTGGCTGTACTCTGGTGTGTGTGTGTGTGGTGTAGTTCTGGGGATCCAAACTCATATCCCCATGCTGGTGCGGCAAGCACTCTTACCCACCAACCCATCTCCTCAGCATAATTTTGATAATATTTTGAGACTGGGTCTCGTTAGGTAGCCCAAACTAGCTTGAACTCACAATTTTCCTGCTTCAGCTTACTAAGAGACAATTATCATTTATATTGGTGACAATATATGTTCTTGTCACATCCCAGCTTTTAGGAGTTGTGATCTTATTATGAAATTGTCCACATCCAGAGGAGCTCCTCTGTCTGTGTCAGGAGTGGGCTCACAGGTCCAGGATATGTCCATCCCTGTCCCAGAAAAATGCTGCCCTGGACTTCAGACAGGACCAGACACATACAAACACCTACATACACAGACTCCTAGAGCAGAACAGCACAGCTGGGCTAGGGTGTTTGCACGTTAATGATGCTGTGTCTTAAGCTCCTCATGGAGTGGGGAGGGGACTCAGACAAAGTGAGGGAAGTACCTCTAAAATCCTGTAAGGGTTATATCAGTTGTCACCTTCTTAAGATCTAGAGTCACCTATTAGTCAAGCCTGAGGTCGCAACTTGATAGAGTTCCTAGAATAGGCTAAGGAGGTTGGAAGGCTCACTCTGAACATGGGCGGGGCCATCCCACGATCTGTTGTCCTGGATTGAATCAAAAGGAGAACAGGAGCGGAGCACCAGCTTCCATCCGTCCTGCCTCCTGACTGTGGAGTCAACGTGACCAGCTGCCACCACCTTCCCCACCACAAGAGACTGAATCCTCAAACTGAGCCAAAATAAACCCTTTTCCCTCCCTTTCCTCCCTCCCTCCCTTCCTCCCTTTTCCCTTTTCCTTCCCTTCCTCCCATTCCTTCCTTTATCCCTCCCTCCCTCCTTTCCCCCTTTTCTTCCCACCCTCCCCCTTCTCCCCTTCCCACCTTTCCTTCAGTTGCTTTCTCAGGTATGTTGTTGCAGCCCTGAGAAAGCTCACTAATGCAAGCCCCTCCCCCAGCTCAAAATTGTCATCACCCTGCCTCAGAGACCTCTGCACTCATCATGATTGTTTCTCACGGCATTATTTCCTCAAGTGATGAACTGTCTGCACTGACACACGACAAGGTACCCCAGACAAGCTGGAGGCCCCTGTGGAATCCGAAACACTTTAAGTCACAAGGAGGCACCCATTAGGACACCAGCTCTGGAAATCTGTGCTGTAGGAACATGGCCCTCTCTGCTCCACCTTAGGCCCCTTCAAAGATCTTCTTTTTGTGTCTGAGGATTAGCACTGCTGCATATTGGGCAGAAAATGAGTTCCTTGCTGTTTATTGTGGTCAAATCCGTCAATGAAGTCAATACAGCAGCAAAGGCCAGAGACGCTGACGTCGCTTTATTAATTCATGAGGTGCTTTGCAGTCCACAACTGTCCACACCGAGATTGATGGAAGCGGAAAAAGAAACGCAAGTTAAATTATGTCCCTGATAACTTCTGCTTAACTGGCCTGTCAACGACCAAGGAGATTAAACATCTGTGATTTATTCCCATGTTAATCTCAATGAACACACACACAGGCGCAGGCTACTCACACACACTCGTGCACACCAGCTAATGAGAGACTGCGCCAGACTGCGTCCTGAATACGGCTCTAACAGTTTGCAGCGTGGAACCAAAGAAAGGCCAGAGTCAACGGGACATAACAGGAGGCTCATTATCCGCTTCTTTTAGCCCTTCAGTCTGCTGTTCATTTGTTCATTTAATCTTTCCTCACCAGCTTCCAGCCTTGCTATAAAAAGCCTTGTGCTAGACCAGAAGAGGATTTTGGGAGATATAAAGTTTGCCCATTTCTACCAAAGAGTATGGCAATAATTAATTTCAATGTGTATTTTAAGCAGTTCCTGCTCTGCCTCTTACAGGCCCCGTAGCCTTATGTGAACTAATTCCCTTATCTAATCTCTCTTTCCCACGAGTGAACGGTGAACCTGAGGTGTTATCATAGCAGCCACCACCAACTGACACTTGCTATGCAAGAGTCCTGTCTACAGATTATTAATATCACAATCCTGTGAGGAAAAGGATGAATTTGTTATTTTCCTTTGTTATTCTTTTTTGTTTTATTTTGGTTTTCAAGGCAGGGTTTCTCTGTGCAACCCTGGCTCTTCTGGAACTTACTCTAAACCAGGCTGGTCTCAAACTCAGAGACCCACCTGCCTCTGGCTCCCAAGTGCTAGGATTAAAGGTGTGCACCACCACATCCAGCTATTCCTTTGTTATTCTTGAAGTTTGTGACTGTGTGTGTCTATGTGTGTGCGCATGTGTGTCTGTGTGTACGCACATATGTGCATGCACACGCTTGAGTGCCCATGCATACCTGTGCTTGAGAACAGTGCCCACAGAGGCCAGAAGAGGGCATCAGATTCTCTGGACCTGTAGTTAGAGGCAATTGTGGGTGCCGGGAACCAAACTTGGGTCCTCTGCAAGAGTAGTCTGTCCTCTTAACCACTGGGCCATCTCGGCAGCCTCCACATTTGTTCTTGTCACATCTTTTTGATCCAAGACTCAGATAATGTACAATTTCCCCAAACCTGCAGATCACAAACCAGGGAATCTAAGTCTATGTGATTGAACCTCAAGAGCCCTGTGTTGTTGGTTGTTTTTACTCTTTATTCTTTTGCTCTTTGGGTGCCCTCCACCCAGCTCCCAAAATAACACACAGAGTCTTTTCCTTACTTCTGAAAGCCCAGTCTTAGTCTGGCTTGTTTCCAGCCAGTTTCTCTTAATTTAAATTATCCCATCTATCTTTTGCATTTGGACTTTTACCTTTCTCTATTTCTGTATATCTTTTCTTTCCTTCTTGTTCTGTGTCTGGCTGTGTGTTGTGTGGCTGTTCCCTGGCAACCTCCTCTCCTTCTTCTTTTCTTGCTTCCCGATCTTCTCTTCCCAGATTTCTCCTCCTATTTATTCTCTCTGCCTGTCAGTCCCATCTATCCTTTCTCCTGCCTAGCTGCTATCCGTTCAGTTCTTTATTAGACCAATCAAGTTTTTCAGGCAGGCAAAGAAACAGAGCTTCACGGTGTTAAACAAATGAAGCATAAAAGAATGTAACACATCTTTTCATCATTAACAAATGCTCTACATCAACAAATGTAAGGCATCTTCAACTACTATTCCACAACAGCCCTGTTCCTAAAGGCTGCCTCAGACACTAAGGCCAGGCCTCACATGCTAAAGTCATGGAAGTCGGGTGCTCTTACAGGTCTCTGGACTGCTCTGGGACCCCAAGGCCACTACTTCTGATCCCTCTTGTTTCCCAGGTATTAGTTTGTTACCAACCCCAGGCAATGTTTCCATGAATCTTTATTCCTGGAACTTTCTGCTCCTGTAGTTAGTTCATCAGATGAGATGTTATCTAACCTGGTCTTTCAGGCTCCCAGGGGTGAGTGCAGAGTCACAGGAATATCAGGTGATGGTACAACGAGAACAAAGGAAATAAATGAAATTACCTAGTGCAAGTGAGAAGCAAACACGAAACACGCAACAAACCCGCTTAGGAGTTTAGAGGGGGCGACTACAGGCCAAGGGATCAGTGTGCAGAGAGAGAGAGAGAGAGAAAGATGACCCATCCAGCTTTTAAAAGCTGCCTCGCACAAATGTGCACGGGGTTTGGCGTGACTATGTCATACACAGATGATGCATGTGACAGGCTCACGCATGCACACAAGGGTTTAGCTGAGTCACATGTGGATGAAACCACACATGCGCGCAGGTGGGTCACACGGGGCCCTTTAACATTCAGGCAATTGCCTGAGAGTCTGCACGTGGCTTTAGAACCCGGAAGTGCAGACGTATCTGTGGCTGAATAATTACAGTAAGTGCGCCCTGAAATATATGCATAGGAACCTTGGAGTTCAGGCCCTTCTCACTGGGACAAAGATCCCAGAGGTGGGCCCCATCTTGGCCTTGAGAGGACTTGGGATGGAGCTTGAGATTCTCTCTGGATGAAAGCTGGTGGTCTCATTCCCTGCTGATGCTTCAACTTTCTCAGGCCACAACATACCCACAAGCTAATGTCGGGCTGCCACCTCAGTCCCAAGATGAATATACACAGCTCAGCACCAAGCGTTGTCTCCAACAGGCCCCCAGCCTCTTCCAACATAATAGGACTCAAACTAGATACAGTACCTTCCCCCCACACACCTATTTCCTCCCATTTCTTTCACCTCCCTATCTTCACAGGAAGCAGGTGGCAGCGCTTGGGATCTTCCTGCTTGGTAATGTCAACTCGCTCTGTTCCCTCTCCCTCCCCACAGTGAACACCAAAGTTATCTCTGTACTTCTTGTCTAAGCCTGCAGCTCCAACAGAGCTCCTGCCTCCAGATTCTAGAAAAAATCCTTGTTAATCTTGTTGGCCAATGGGAGATAAACCACAAGAGGAAACTTTCAGAGTCTTTAAATGGCATTAGTAGAGAGTTATTTACTGAACAAATGTCCTTGGGCATGTGCTGTGAGCTCGGCCCCATGCTAGGAGCTATGGGAGGGTGGCGGTAACTATACACCACGTCCTTGTCTTCACACACCAAGGGGAGTGTTCAGAAAGACAAAGAATGAATGGACAGAAGTGAATGTCAGACAGTGGTGTGCTCAGTAGGGGGAAAGGCAAAGGAAAAGAATAATGTGTGCCAAGGCCGAGTCCTATCTCAGCTGGGATGCGTGGGGATTGTAAGAAGTCTGTTAAATCCTTAGAGCACAAAGGCCAGATTCTAAGTACATTGTGTTCATTCCTGCATCTAACTGCCATAGCAACCTACTGAGATAGACTGTTAGTCTCATTCCGAAGATGAGAAAGTCAAGTATAGGGAATCCATGTTCACAAAGGAGCCAGACTTTGTATCTAGGCCATTTGATTCCACCAACTTCCCTGTCTGCTACCACCATGGTAAGCTACCTGTCCCAGGAGGTGATGTCTAAGCTGAAGCCTGGTATGGGAAGGGCAACTGAGGATGGGTTCTTCCTGAAGTGACCCGAAGGCACACCGTCATGAGCAAGTAGACTGTGTGAAAGGCTTCTCAGGAAGCAGTGGGAAGGCAGTGAGGAAGTGTGACAGAGAATAGACGCATGACAGCTAATCTTCATTACCACCTTGACTAGATGTTGACTCAAGAATGGAAACCACATCTCTGGGTGTGTCTATGAGGATGTTTACAGAAGAAAATTAACCGGAGAGGAAAGATACATCCTGAACGTAGGAGGCATCGTTCCATGAACTGGGATCCTAGACCGAAAAACAAAAGTGGACACAGCACCAGCATCCATCCCTCTCTGCTTCCAGACTGTGGGAGTGATGTGACCAGCTGCCTCACACTCCTGACACAACGCCTTTCCACCACGATGGCCTGGACCTTCAACTCAGAGCCGAAATAAACCCCTTTACCTTCATACTGCTTTTCATCGAGTATCTTGTCATAGCAAGAAGAGAAGTAACTAACACTGGAGGGAAGCCAGCCATGGCTGTGTTAGCAGCGTGCTACCTCCCAGGGATGCTGGGATCCAGTGTAAAGCACCAGCCTCTGCGTCTTCCCACCCCAAACCCCACCTCTTCAGTTGATAGCTGCTACCATGGAACAAATCTCTGGTGCTTATGACCTGTTCATCTGCAGAGACAGTAGAGGTTCCCACAAAAGAAAAGCTGCCCACAAAGATACAAAGGTGCTAGGAGGTATAGTTTGGCCATCTGCACCAAAACCTTGAGGCCCAAGCAGATATAATATAGTCAAGGCACCAGAAGCACCTACTAGAATATTCCACATAGAAAGGCTGCCTCTACAGGTGAAATTCCATGGGCAGTAACTGCCTTGGTGTGTAAGCCAAAGAGGAGAAGCAAGGCTCAGGCTGACAGTGCCAAGCTGTGTGATAGAAAATTGCCACCAGAGAGGGTACTAGAGGCCAGGTATAACTTTAAAAGGTCTTTCTAGGTGCTGGGAGGGGAAAAGACCACAGGACGCAGGGACAGAAGAGATCCTTAGTAGACTGTGATATTAGTCCCAGTAACATATGTGTCACCTTGCCTGAAGGGGGCATTTTGTTGGGGTTTAGATTCAGGTTATAGCTAGAACTGACAGTTGATAAGAAGTCCATCCTGGTGTATAAACAAAACTGGGGGCTCATCCACGGAGACAGATACAAGGCAGATGCAAGCTCAGAGAAGCAGGGTTTGGGAATTGTGTGTTTTAGACAGGAAGTTTGAGAAACACTGTAGTAACTAGATTCCTCTAGTTATTATCCTCTACACAAGAAGTAGAGGCCAAAGGGGAGTCCAGCTAGGTTTGCTGTGATACAATGCAATCACCTCCGGGTCCCCCTGAGAAGCACTCAAGGTACACTAGGAGTCATCTAGTATGTAGTGTACAGGTACCATGTGGCTGGGAGAGATCTGATGAGCTTAAAAATGCAGGAGGGCTAAGACGAACAGGAGAAACATTGGGCGTGAGAATCAATGGTTACAATCACTGCACAGCCCAGCAGTCTGTAAGACAGACAGAGGCTTGCTTTGGTCTGTCAGGCCTTGCTTGCAGAGAGCGGAGTGAATCATACTGCTAAATTTAAAGCACACAGTCCTTGTCCTAGTTTCGCTTCTGTTGCCGTGACAAAATAGCCCGACAACAAGCGAATTAAAGAAGGAAAGGGTCCATTTGGCTTACAGTTGCAGGTTACAGTTTATCACCGAGCAGGAGTCCCGGCAGGAACTCAGAGCAGCTAATCACGTAACATCCACCTTAACATTGTTAAGAGCAGAGGGAAACAAATGCGTGGGTGTGGCCTGCTTGCTCTCCTGCCAACCATCTAACTTTCCCAATTGTTACATAGTCCAGGGTCTCCTGCCTAGAGAATGGTGCCACCCACAGTAGGTTAGGACTTCCCATACCAATTAAGGATGAACAATCCCCACAAATGGTAATACCCTTAAGCCAACCTGACTCTGGTGGGTCTCTCTCTTCCCAGGTGACTCTAGGTTGTGTCAACTTCGCATTTAAAATTAACCAGAAATGTCTCTTTAGTCCTTGAGAGCTCCTTTCTGGTTGTGCTGCTGGATCATTTCTCCTAGTTCCCTGTTTCCAGGTCTAGTCCTCCCTCTCTAACACATTCATCAATGCCGCTATATATCTAGGTATCCTTGAGAAATATATTGTTGGTTTATGTTTGCCCCATAACTCAAAACGTTATAAATCCTGTTCTTTACTTGATACTGTGTTACAATCTATTTGCATCACTATCAGTATATTTAATTTATTTTTGCAACTGCATGTAGTTATAAAAAAATAGATATGGGTTGACCAGATAGCTCAGTGGGTAGAGGTACTTGTTGCCAGACCTGAAAACCTGAGTCCCATTCTTAGGACCTGTATGGTAGAAGGAGAGAAGCAACTTTTGAAAAATGGCCTCTGATGACCACACATGTGGTAGAATGAACACACACAATACATACACACACATACCCCACAATAAATAATTATAAAAACATAAAATAGATGTTTAGGTTATATTTTCTCACCCATTCTACTGAAGAGAGATGCCTGGGCTTTCTGAAACTCCTTTATAAACTTTGCTACAAGAATATTTTTCAGCTGCGCTGTCAAGACTGAGTGTCTGAAAGCAAACATGTGGTCTTTATGAACATGAACAACCATGCAAGCACTGTGGAAGCCATGGAGCAGCAAAACCAACAAGATCTTATGCCTGGCTGTGTGTGACTGATACACTTGATAAATGTGTATCTTAACCAGCAGACCAACCCTTCTATAGTGCCAGAGGGCACTGCACCCCACCCGTCTGCTGACAATAGCCTATACTCCCTCTGCTCCTGCAGAAATGCTCTGGGTTCCATGTAGCAATAGTTAACCTTCAATGTCATCCTGGTGGGATTCAAAACACCAGGGAAACACCTCTAAATGTATCTATGACGGCGTCTCCAGAAAGGTTCACTGAGGAAGGCAGATGATGAAGGTGATGACATCATCTCATGGGTTAGGATCCTGCACCGAATAAAAGGAGAGCTGGAAGCCGGGCAGTGATGGCACATGCCTTTAATCCCAGCAATCGGGAGGCAGAGGCAGGTGGATCTCTGTGAGTTTGATGCCAGCCTGGTCTACAAGAGCTCCAGGACAGACTCCAAAGCTACAGAAAAACCCTGCCTCAAAAAAAACAAAAGAGAAAGAAAGAAAGAAAAGAAAAAGAAGAAAAGAAGAAAAGAGAAAAGAAAAGAAAAGAAAAGAAAAGAAAAGAAAAGAAAAGAAAAGAAAAGAAAAGAAAGACAGCTGGAGCTGACTGTGGCTACAGTGTGACCCCCGCTGTCGTGACTTCCCTGCCACCATGGGCTGTGCCCTTAAGTTCCTACCGTGGATTTTGTCACAGCAAAAAGAGAAGCACTGCTACACACATTTCCCTTATTTCACTCTGAACTGTAAGAATTCAGCTTGAAATTGTGATGAAAGCTAGGTAACAGGAGCTAGCAAGATGGCGTGGAGGTCATGAGCTAGCGAAATGGCGCCGAGGTCAGGGGCGTGTGGCTGAAACTCATCTACTTCCCACTCCCTCTGTCATGCCATGATCAGCTCTAGCCCTCCGGAGTTGTAAGCCAGAACAAACCCTTTCATACCCTTTCTTCCTTAAGTTGCTTTTGATCATGATATTTTTTTTTTTATCACAGCAAGAGCAAAATAATATACCATGTTATAGTAAAACCAAAGTGAGCTCCCACCCAAACTACCTGAATTCAATTTGGGAACCAGGATTACACTTTCCAGACAAAATAACGTAATAGTTTTCCCTTGACATCAGTTTTCCCATGCAGTGTTTTAGGGGTATGACTATTTGCTTTTTGATGACATTGTAAACACAGTTCCCACAATACAGTGCTATGGCCTTTTTTGAAAATATAATTCCTTTTCCATTTTATTAAGACTCCTAGTTCTACCAAGGTCTTGAACCACCTTCAGCCTTTTACATATTTCTAGAGTTTTCTCTAGGTCAAGGGTTCTTAAATTTTTCCCACTTACAACCAGGATGAGCTTTCACCTGAGGAACCGTGTAGTGTATGTAAGTGTCCACATGGGTGTGTGCAGGTGTGCTGGTAGAGATGAGAGGTCAATATTGAGTGTCTTGCTCAATTTTTTTCTCCACTGTTTTTTGCAGATTTTGGTTTGTTTTTTTTTTAAAAAAAAATTGTGTGTGCGTGAGAGAGGGGGAGGAACAGGGGGGCATGGAGTGTGGGGATATATATATATATATATATATATATATATATATATGATGTGTAGATAACCACAGAGGCTAGAAAAGGGGGTCAGCAGGGAGGGGCTCAGGCTACAAGTAGTGTGAGCCCCCTGACATGTATGCTGAGAATGGAATGCCAGTCCTTCATAGTAACTGCAAGCACCCTTAACTAATGAGCCCTCTCTCCAGCCCCTCCAGCTTAGATTTTGAGACACAGCTTCTCACTGAACCTGGATCTTGCCATTTGGGCTAGACGGTGATGGCTAGCAAGTCTCCAGAATCCGCCCATTTGATGGATTCAAACTCAGACTCGCATGCCTGCACAGCAGGGACTTCATCGTGAAGGATCTTCCCAACTCAAACCTGATCATTTACAAGACTCTGGGTGTGTTAGATGTATAAAATAGCCAGACCAATCAAATATTCATTGACAATAAATCTAAAGAAAATTATTTTAAAACAATTGTCTCAAAACACACACACACACACACACACACACTCACACGTACGCACACACATGTGCCCACACACATACACACACCATGCAACATGGGATAACTCTGACAAAAATGCCTTGGATTCAATACATGCTTGCACTGTTGAGAGAGACCTTTGCTGTTGTCAAATTCTTTGCAACCTCCACCTTTAGTAATGAGACCTTTTGCACAAGGTCATGACCCACAGTTTCTGGCGTTTTGATCTTACTCCCTTTTGGCTTCTGTCTTACTTGTATTTCTTCTTCTCCCATCAGTCTTGACTATTTGATTAGTGTTGTGTTTTGAATTTCAAATGTCCCCCTGTAGGCTCATGTGTGTGAACACTTGGTCCCAGCTTGTGTGACTTGGGAGGTCTTGGAACCTTGAGGAAGTATAGGTTTGTTGAAGGAAGTACATCACTGGGGGTGGCCTTTGAAGTCCTAGAGCCTGGCCCCACTTTTGTCTCTTTCTGCTTCCTGGCCACCAATGAAACAGCCAGCCTCAGGTGTCAGCTGCCATGCCTTTCCCGCCATGATGGACTCTGTCTCCTCCGGATCTTTACACAACCTAACCCTTCCCCACAAATGATGCTTTTTTTGGGGGGGGGGGTGCCCCATCACGGCAGCAGCAAAGCAATGGATATAATTAATCTTTCTAAAGGACACTCTCAGAATTGTTAACTTCCTATTA